GATTATGTACATGATGATGCTGATGACGATGATGACGATGATGATGATGGTGATGATGATGACGATGGTGATGATGGTGATGATGAGTATGATGGTGATGATGATGAGGATGAGGGTGATCATGAGCACGATGCTGATGATGCTGATGGTGATGACAACAACGACGATGATAAGTGCGACGATCATGACGGTGGTGATGAAGACGATGCTGATGACGCTGATGATGAAGATGATGAAGGGTCTCTTAGACCGTCGTGGAGCGCTCCTGGACAATCTTGGGGCCGCCTTGAGCCCCTCCTGGCCCGTCTCGATACGCAAGCTCCCTGGATATCTCAACGTGTCGAATGTGTCTTGAGCGGTATCCCCATTTTGAACGGAAGACGTCTTGAAAAAGCTCGTTCACGATCCTATGCGTTCGAGGATGTCTCGAGCGAGAGCCTCGTGATTAAGACTTCGACGAATTCGCAAGGTCCCCGGGTTTCTCATGTGTTCGAAGGATGTATCGAGCGAGAGCCTCAATTTTAACATGTAACGCCCTAAACCAACTCCTCGGCGATCTCACATTGTCCAAAAATGTCTCGGGCGAAACGGCCGTTGTTGGGGGAACGTTTCCTCTGGACAAGAACGGGAAGCGCCGTGTCTCTGAGCTTGCATGCGCACGCGCGCATGGATTTGCAACCAGCGCGCATGTGTGCACATGGATGCATTCGCTGGGCTCCTCTAAATGCCCAGATGGTCGCCGTTGGTAGCTCGTGTTCAGTGGTCGCCTGCGGTTGCTTTGGTCAGGTGTTGCGCGTGGCCGATGCTTGTGTGCAAGTATATGTATGTGAATGTGTGTGTGTGCATGTGTGTGCTTGTGTGTGTGCGGCTGTGTGCGTGTGCGCGCGTGCGCGAGCGTGTACAGGGTGTGTGCCAGGGGGGCGGGAGGAGGGGGTGCACGGTGTGCGTACGGGGCGTGTGCCTGGCGGGCGGGCGGGGAGGGGGTGTACGGTGTGCGTACTGGGTGTGTGCCTGGCGGGCAAGCGCGAAGGGCGCAGGGTGTGCGTATGTTTTGTGTTTAGTGTGGGTGGTGTTTTGTTTACGTGGTGCATGCCCTATATGGGCATTCATGCGCTGGGGGCGTGTTGTGATCCTCCTCCTCCTCCTCCTCCTCCTCCTCCTCCCCCTCCTTCTCCTCCTCCTCCTCCTCCTCCAGCTCCTCCTCCCCCTCCTCCTCCTCGTCCAATTCCTCTCCCTTCTCTACCTGCTCCTCTTCCTCCTTTCCCTCCTCCTCCTCATCCTCCTCCTCCCCTCCTCCTCCTTCAATTCCTCCTCCTCCTCCTCCTCGGTCTCCTCCTCCTACGTTTCCTCCCCCTCCTCTTCCTCCTCCTCCTCCTCGTCCTCATCCTCGTCCGCGTCCTCGTCCTCGTCTTCGTCCGCGTCCGCGTCCACCACATCCTCGTTCCGAGAAGGCGCTTCCAATCATCCGCCAAGCGACCAACCGCTTGCGCCCGCGAGCCAAGGGTCTCTCGCGTCTGAGGTATTCATCCTTAATGAGCTTCCTCTAACTAACACCCATCACCTTCTCGTTCGGAGAAGGAGCTTCCCGTCATCCGCCGAGCGAGCTACCTTTTACAATCGCAAGCCAGGGGTCAATCGCGAGTGTGTTCTTCATTAATCCAACCAGCCCTTTGGGCGTGAGTGGTTTAGAGAGCCCGCTCTGTTCTCAACCCCCCTTCTTCCCCTTCGGGAAGGGGTTTACCCCTCCCCCTACCCCCTACCCCTGGACCTGGAGAGGGGGTTTCGCGGGTCGTTGGAGGGGTCTTTTCCGACTCCTGGGAGGGCTAAAAAACGACTACCCTCACGAGGATTCTGGCCCCGACGGGGGGGCGGAGATAGGCCCCTCTCCTCTTCTGTGAAGCCAAAATCATTGATTTTTACTACGGTTTTGGCCCCATTTGGGCCTTCTGAGGGGGCAGCGCTCATCTTCCTTGATAGCACAATCATTGATTTGACGAAGGTTTTGGGCTCATTTTGTCCTTCTCAGGGGGCAGCGCTCATTTGCGCTTCTGAGGAGGTCGCAAGAGGCCCCAAGATGGCCCCAAGAGGCCCCCAGGAGGCTCCCAAGAGGCCTCGAAGAGGCCCCCAAGAGGCCCCCAAGAGGCCCCAAGAGGCCTCCAAGAGGCCCCCAAGAGGCCCCCAAGAGGCCCCAAGAGGCCTCAAGAGGCCCCCAAGAGGCCCCCAAGAGGCCCCCAAGAGGCCCCCAAGAGGCCCCAAGAGGCTCCAAGAGGCCCCCAAGAGGCCCCACGAGGAGCCCGAACGACTCACACCAGGACGAGGGGCCCGAACGACTCACACCACGAAGAGCCCGAACGACTCACACCACAAGGAGGGGCCCGAACGACTCACACCAGGACGAGGCGCCCGAACGACTCACACCACGAGGAGCCCGAACGACTCACACCACGACGCGGGCCCCGAACGACTCACACCACGAGGAGCCCGAACGAGTCACACCAGGAGGAGGGGCCCGAACGACTCACACCAGGATGAGGGGCCCGAACAACTCACACCACGAGAAGCCCGAACGACTCACACCAGGACGAAGAGCCCGAACGACTCACACCACGAAGAGCCCGAACGACTCACACCAGGAAGAAGGGCCCGAACGACTCACACCAGGACGAGAAACCCCAAACGACTCAAATCACGAGGAGCGCTTTCTCTCCCTCCTCCTCCGCCTCGTCCTTCTCCCGCTCCCCCCACAAGGAGGATGTACAAGGAGGCGGGAGGAAGGAGGAACAGGGGAGATATGCGGGGCCAAGCGGACACACGCCTGAAAAACACGACTGTCGGCATGCTTCGCAAGAGTTGCTGCTGTGAGATGGGCTGGTGGGGATACGCGAAGCGTAAAGAATTCCTGACTCAGCAGGCCTCCAACAAACTCCCATCACCTTCTCGTTCTGAGAAGGCGCTCCCCGTCATCAGTCAAGCGATCTACCTTTGCGACCTTGAGCCAACTGTCCCTAGCGAATGTGTTATTCACGAATTCCGCAGAACGCTTGGCCTAGCAAACTCCCATCACCTTCCCGTTCCGAGAGGGCGCTTCCCGTCATCGGACGAGCTATCTACCTTTGCGACCCCGGGCCCGTTGTCCATCGCGAGCTTGTTCTTCATTAGTTCCGTAGAACGCTTGGCCGAACAAACTCCGACCACCGTCTCTTTCCGAAAAGGCGCTTCCCGGCATCCGCCAAGCGAAAAGCGTTTTGCGTCCGCGAGCCCGTTGTCCATCGCGTCTCTGTTCTTCAATAGTTAGTAGTAGGCATGGCCTAACAAACTCCCACCACTTTCTCGTTCCGAGAAGGCGCTTCCTGTCATCCGCCAACGAACGATAAAGTGCAACCAGCCACCCGAGACAGGAAGATATTGATAGATATGTGGCAATTACAACCTAAACGTCCAGCTCGCTCCTCGTATCTCGAAGACGTGTCCCGTCATCCGCCCGCGAGCTTCGGGATGCGATCCGTATCCGCTGGTTGGAGAAAAAGGGCCCAAAAACCAACGGTGCACGGCGGAGGCGCTTCCCGTCATCCGCCACCGTGCCTGCACGACGTGGGTGTGTTATGATGTACAGTCAGAAACCCTAATAAGGACGCGCGGTAAGGACGCAAGACCCGAAGTTGGGATTCTTGGGGCGGCGGACGACGAAAACCCCAAGGACGCAAGGGTACCCTGACAAGCGGGCAAGTGAAAGAGGCCAAGGACGAGCCGCAAGAGCAAGGAAGAGCAAGGACGCAAGGGTACCCTGAGCAAAGTCGCGCGTCCTGATTAGGGTTTTTGACTGCAAGGTGGTGCCCGATAAGGCTTCTGCAGGTCTTTGAAGGGCTCCCGCACCTCCAGTCGGCACCTCGCTGCGAGCATCGACCCCCGCCCCCTCCCGAGCCTCCTGGCCCGTGCCCTCTGGACACAGTCGAGTTTGGTTGGAGGGGGAACGCGAGAGGGCGCAATACCCCTCCAAGGGCCGCATTGCCATAGGCAATGAAAGCACGGGTCGCTGAACACAGAACACAAGGGTACCCTTGATTTGACAGAAGGGGCCTACTACTCAAGTTCGACTGCAGCACCCTGAAAGAGGCGCATCCGTAGATCGGAGACGCGTCCTCCCGCCATGCAGCTCGCCGTCGCGCGTCACGCCCGCGGCCCGCCCGCGACGCACCCGCAGACACTGCTTCAACCAAAATCGGCGTGCTTTCCAATGCGGCGGGTAGGCCCACACGGAGTGCCTTCTCAAATGACAACTCCGCGCCTGCGGCGGCCCGACTGGAACATCGGCGTGGGAAAACATCAGCGTGAACTCCAACAGGGGCGGGCCCTCACTCTTGTCCGCAACCGCGGGTGTGAATCGATACAGCCTTGCGGGTCAGGAGGCTCCCATGGGTCCCCCTGGGCCCAAGGCCTGCAGAAGAAGTCCGTCGAACCCGCGGGCACCCAGGGAGCCTCCCTCCGCCGAAACTTGAGACCGCCTGCTATTGGCTGCGCCCTTGGCCGCCGAACATCAAACCGACTGAACCGCTGGTTGCGCCATGGCGCGGGCCCTCGGGCGAGGTCGCGTGCGCGAGGGACTCCGCTTCGGGATCGACCGGGCACGCGTGGGGATCCGTCGCGTGCCTACTCCCAACAACTCCCCCTGCCTCCATTTATTCCTCCTCCCCCCTCGTTGCTGTCAACATCCTTTGTGAACGTTTAGCAAAAACTTCAGGAGCACCGCCTGCGGCGTTCTGTTACCATCCTTCTCCCTCCTCCTCTTCCACCTCCACCGTGCCGTCGTCCCAGCCTCCTGCTCCCCCCGTCTTCCTCCTCCTCCTCCGCCTCCTCCTCCTCCTCCTCCTCCTCCTCCTCCCCCTCTTCTTCCTCCTCCTGTTTCTTTCCCTTTTCATATTATTGTCCTTTTCCTTTTCCTCGTCCTCGTCCTCTTCCTCCTCCTCCTCCTCCTCATCATCCCCCTTCCCCTCAACCATCTCCTGCCGCGACGTCTCCCCCATGGCGGTGTCGTCGCCAGCCACGGCCACCTCACTAGGAAGCTGCACGTCTCGGCCAGCTTCGGCGTCTCGAAGAGACGCCGAGGCCGAAGGGGACGCGTCAGAGCCCATGGAGGAGCCGACGGCCAACGCAGGCCCAAGGGGGCCAGGCCTGGGGTCTTCTGGGAGCTCTGATGCCTCGAGTCCGAGCGTAGCCGCCGAAGCCCGAAGGCGAGCAGGGCAAGAGAGGACCTCGAGGCGACCGACTCTCACGGCAGTCTTAGCGCCGAGCTTGCAGTACCCGCAGCGGAAAATCCTCCTCCCTGGGACTTTGACAAACACGTGTCGGAGATGAGACGGGGTGTCACCCGTGTCCTCTTCAGGAGGGGGAGCGCGGCGGGTACGCTTAACCCGAGGCTTGGTGGGACAGCGCCCTGTGCCACCATAGATGGTGAGGGCACGCACCATCCATCGGAGACAAAGATTATAATTCTTGAAGGCGACAGCCATGGCCTTACGGGCCTGTTGCGAAGCACCATGTAGATCGCGCCCTCTGGTGGCAGCCAGGTCGGCCCACCGATTACCTCGCGCCACTTCGCTGCCGCCCCGCTGATGCCCTTTACAAAGCTCGAATGAGACACCACTCTGGAGACCGCCGAGGTCTTGAATTTTTCCCCAGATGGCCTCCCAGAGGTCCAGGTTGTTTCGACGAGGAGCTAAACACCAAGCTGGACCCCTGACAAGCCCATCGGGCAAACCTTTAAAGTCGGTAACTATAACGACAGGAGGCAGGCAGGCCATCAGGACTTGAAGGGCAGCGAACATCTCAGCCCGAGGGGAGGTCTGCACAGGACCTGGCAAAGCTCCGTAAACAACACATTGAACTCCGCCACGGTCGCGATCAGTTAAGGTGGCGAAGCCCCACCCTGCTCGGGCCGACTCGGGCCAGTACCAAATTCGACGACAGGCTCCGTCCGTGTAGACCCTGCCCGAGACGCCCCATGGGTTTCCATACAGGATGTGCCAGGCCCCCGAGTCGTCCAAAGGTGGTAGTACGGGGAAACAAGAACGCCCAATAAGTCCACGATCCCAAAACCAAGAGCCCTCGACACACGGTGGAAAGCCACAAGTATCCAAGCGAGACATCACCTGTTCACGTTCTTGTGATAGTACATCGGACGAGCATTTCCAAACCACATGATGCACCCCACATTTCTCGGCACCGCACATCGCACACTCTGAGCAATCCGTGTATCCCAGCTGTGCAAGCCTTTGCGGTAACTAGCCAAACGCCACCTGTGACGAGCGCCTGAAGCATACCAGCCTCTCGCCACTCGCCCTGCCCGGACAGCGAGGAGGAGGAGGGAGAGGGGGAGGAGGAGGAGGAAGACCTCAGTTGGGAGGTCTAGGAAGAGGAATATGGAGGAGGGGGCAGGGAGCCACGGAGGGAGGGAGTGAGGAAAGGAGGAGGGAGGAGTCAAAGAGAGGGAGGAATGAAGGGGGAGGAGGGGGAGGAGGGAAAGACGAAAAAGGAAAAAAGAAGGAGGAAAAGAAAGAGGAGGGAGGAGGAGGAGGAGAGGAGAAGGAGGAAGACGGAGGAGAGGGAGGAGGGGGAGGAGGAGGAGGAGGAGGAGGAGGAGGAGGAGGAGGAGGAGGAGGAGGAGGAGGAGGGGGAGGAGGAGGAGGAGAAGGAAGACGGAGGAGGGGGAGGAGGAGGAAGAGGAAGGAGGGGGAGGAGGAGGGCGACGGAGGAGGAGGGGAAGACGGAGGTTGGGGGCGAGGGCCAGGAGGAGAGCCCCCCCCAAGCCCGGCTCCCCGCACACGTACAGCCGCCCGCCCACCACCGCCGACGACGCGTCCGAGCGCCGGTGCGCCATCGGGGGCAGGGGCTGCCACTCCTCCAGGGGGCGGGGCGTTCCCAGGCGTCTCAGCGGCCCCCTGCACGAGATCGTTATTCTTATGTTCCGGCGCTGTCCTGCCCCGGGCTGTCCGGTGGGGCTGGGGCGGGGGGGAGGAGGGAGGAGGAGGAGGGAGGAGGAGGAGGGAGGAGGGAGGAGGGAGGAGGGAGGAGGGGAGGGCAGCCAGCCGATGGTCTGACCTTTTTGGGGCTCTGGGCGGCTCCACGTGTGCACCCGCGCGCGCCAGCACTGCGCACCCCATCGGACCTGCGCAGCCTCCTCCTCCTCCTCCTCCTCCTCCTCCTCCTCCTCCTCCTCCTCCTCCTCCCCTCCCCTCCTCCTCCTCCTCCTCCTCCTCCTCCTCCCCCTCCTCATCCTCCTCGCGAGCCTCCCGACCTGGGTCAGTCGGGCTCTGCAGGGTCCTGCAGGACCCTGCGGGATCCTGCACCCAGACCCGGGTCGGTGCGCCCCTGGCCCTGCAGGATCCCGCAAGATCGGGCGCTCTGACTTACCCCCGTTCGCATCGACCCCCGTCGCTTTTGAGTCCCGCCGTGACCTGACCACGGCACCACACCAGAGGATACATGCACCAAGCATGGCCGCGAGGACTGCTTGAGTGGGACGGGGGGGACACAGACCAAAAAATATGTCCCGACACCCGACGCGGTCAGGTCGTCTGGGGGGGGGGGGCGGATGGCCCCGATCGCCGATCACCCCGATGATCGTCGGACCCTTGAGAGACAGCCTCCTCCCGGGCGGCCCCGCGGCGCTCGATCGGCCCAGGACTTGGACGGACGCGGGTGCGGGAGGCAAGCGCCAGCTCCCGGGCAACAGCGCCACGAGAGAAACGAGGGGGGCCGCACGGGGGCCAGGGGAAGGGGCGGGGCGAGGGCGAAAAAAGGCACCGAGCGGAAGGGACCGACCAACACGCCAAACAGGGACCGAAACCACGCAAGGACAACGATCGATCCGACCTCGGGGGTCGACGATCGACGATCGAGGATCGAGGATCGATCGAGAATCGAGAATCGGGGATCGAGGATCGATCGAAGCTCGAGGATCGATCGAAGATCTAGGATCGAGGATCGGCCTAGGACCGGTTTATCCGACCTCGAGCATCGAGGAACGATCGAGGGTCGAGGATCGAGGATCCATCGAGGATCGAGGGTCGAGGATCAATCCTCGACCCACGGCTGCGGGGACCGCAGCGGCGGTCGATCGGTTCAAGACCGATCCATCTCTGAGGCGAAGGCAAGGTGAGCACAAATTCGAACGAGGATACATCGAGACGGAGGGAGAGAGGGGGGGCCAGGATAAAGCTAAATTCAGCTGGGTGAAACATGAGCGGTGTTCTGATCTGGGTCAGTCTTCGGCCAAGAATATACCAGCGCCAACATTCAATTTAACCTCCCAAGAATTGCACCCTAACCTGGAAAGTCCCAAGGAGATCCTGAGGAGATCGAATCCTGGCCATGTCATGTGTCCTAAGGAGCCCCAAGGAACTCCAAAGAATCCTTCTTGGGAAGTCCTGAGGACAAGGGGGAGGGAGGGGCAAGGAAAAGGAGGAGGGCAATGGCGTCGACTTTCTGCTCCCCCGAACCTACCGAACGTTGTGGGAAGACCTGTCCAAGAATTACAGGACGGAGGCAGGGTGAGGACAAATTCGGATGAGGATACAATGGAAAAAACCCTGACATCCAGCGGGCCTGGAGGATGCATCGGGCGCTGCGACCGTTCCAGAGCGTTCCGGAACGCTCTGAGATCGTTCAAGCGCTTCTCTGGAGTATTCCTCACCCGATCCATCCGAGATGGTCGATTAGGCGGCCACATGTGAATCCTGCCCCCACTTTTAAGAGGCGGCCACATGTGAGCATGTCGGACATATTAGAAGACTTAAACCCCATTGAGGGTCCGGTAAGCCGAATTGAGCCCCAGACTAGCGGGAGTAAGCCGAATTAAGCAGGATTAGGATGGATAAAACAGCATCCTCCTCCTCCTCCTCCTCCGCCTCATCAGCAGCAGCAGCATCAGTATCAGTATCAGAACCATTATCAGCATCATCATCCTCATCATCATCAGCATCATCATCATCGTCAGCAGCATCATCGCCATCACCATCACCATCACCATCATCAACACCATCAACATCACCATCACCATCACCATTACCATCACCAGCATCATCACCATCACCATCACCATCACCGCCAACAGCATCATCATCATCGTCCGCATCAGCATCAGCATCAGCATCGTCATCATTATCATCATCATCATCAAAATCCGCATGGTCATCAGCAGCACCATCAGCATAAGCATATTCATCTTCATATTCATCTGCATCATCGTCATCATCGTCATCATCATCAGCAGCATCAGCATCAGCATCAACATCATCATCATCATCATCATCAGCATCATCATCAGCATCAGCATCAGCATCAGCATCAGCATCTTCATCATCACCATCATCATCATCATCATCAGCATCATCATCATCATCATCATCATCATCTGGGCAGCGGGTCGCAGGGCAGCAAGGTGGCAGCGCGACGTCGTAGCACATCGTGGTTCGAGAGGTTTCCGAACTTGGGTTTAGACCCGAACGCTCAAACCCAAATCTCCGGCGAACCGCTCGGCCCGCCCATTCGACCGTCGTCGGGGTGCGCCAGGGAGAAGTGATTCATAAGCAAAGGGAATAAATGAGGAGGAGGAGGAGGAGGAAGAGGAGGAGGAGAGGGAGGACGAGGATCGGTATCGGGATCGGGCTCGTGGAGTTCGCGTGTCAACTCGACCGAGGCGTGTGAAACCCTATATCGTGCTGCGCATAGAACTCTGAGTGGCGTGACTTTGTGAGACGTCGACCTTCTGTGGCGACCCCTGCGCTCGGGCAGGGCCGCACTGCCCCATTAGGGGCAACCCCCCCTCGAGGCACGCAGCCGTGGGGGCGCCCCCTGGGGACCGATGAATTACACCTAGCCTCGGGCATCCCCTCATAAAGGCGAGAAGCCCGTAGCCCCACCACCCCGCTCCCGCAACCCAACAGCACGGAGCCACAAGGGCCAGAAGCCGCACTGCTAGGTCGGTGGGAGGGGAGCAGCAGAGTTACGTACCTCAGGGGGGGCCCGAGAGACGTATACACAGGACGGGGACCGCTGTAAAAAACCCCACGAGAGAAAATTATCTTCCCTGGGAATGCCCACGGCCTCCTCCTCTCCTTCCACCTCCTCCTCGTCCGCGTCCCCTGGGCGTCGGCCTTAAAAGAACCGTGGGGACGGGCGGAAGAGAGGGGCCGTAGGCCGTAGGGAATGGGAGAGGGGTGGGCGCAGTCCTATCTCGTAGCACATCGGGCGGTACGCGTCCTCGCGCGATCAGCTCACGAAGGCGGGCACTCTCATGGAGCGCTGATGGCGGCCGTACTTCAGAAGGTTGAAATAGCACAGGTGGAGGCCGTACTTCCGAAGGTTGACTGTGCACACCATCAGCAGTAGTCGCGTTCACTTCTTCAACTGATTCAGCAGCTTTGCCGCATCTCTCTCCAGTGGGCCGCGGGGTGGAGGGCCTATCAGGCGCTCGCCCTTCATGTCCAGGATGGCCGAGCGCAACATCGGAATCAGCTTGCGGCCGAGCACGTGGTCTGAGTCGATCGCCACGATGAGACGGCCTTTCTTCTCGAGGGCCTGCTGCTCGCCCTTGTCGCGCTTCCACTGCCAGTGAAGTACCATTTCTCCGACGGCGTGGATGGTCATCTTCTGCACGTACTCTAGATAGAAGTTCTTGAGCTCCTTGCCCCACGGTGTGTCCTGTCTGGCCAACCACATCAGCCCTGATATGAATATGTGTAGATGCGGGGGGGCGCGACTTTTGAAGTC